GGGGCCTGGATGGAGGGGAGGCTGAGTGGGTGGGGATGGAGGGGTGGAAGGAATCTGATGGACTGCATGGGGCGGAAAGTTGGACACGGCAGGCGGCTGCCGCTTGAAGCGTCAGTCAGGAGGAAGGGCTGGAGATAAGGGGGGGGGAAGGGGTGGGACCTGAGGATCTTGTAGAGCGAAAAGGCGTGGCCCAACTGGTGGGAATCTGGTTGACGTCCAGTGTTATTTATTGGGGTGGGTGATGGAATATTGGGAAGGATTTCTAGGGAGCTGTGGGAGACCTCAGGAAGAAGGGTCCGGTGAAGGGGTTTTGTTCGGATGTAGGGAAGTGACAGTTTCTTTTGGGGGGGTTCTCTGGGGCTCCGAGAGGGGCGGAGCCTGGGACAAGGTACCTGTGAGGGTCATATGCAAGGGCGTGAATGTCTAGGAGTTGGTGGGGTGGACCTGAAGGTTCGGAGATGGTGTGATCCGAGAAGAGGCTTGAGATAGGAGTTGACATAGGAGCTGGCCGGCGGGAAACTGACAGTGGGCCCTGTGCTCCAGGAGACGGACTCCGCCCGTGCCGCCGCCCCGAGCCCGGGAGGATCGGGCTTCGACGTCGCGGGAGCGCTCCACATCGCGCGGTCGCGGTGCCACCCGCTCTTCTTCCCGGGAGAGCGGCCGGGGGGGCCGGAGTCGAGGCCGCCCTGCCCGCCCCTCACCCTCGCCCACAGGTCTCTGCCCTGTCCTGCCCGTGGGAGGGTGGGGGATGGACTGGAGCTGTGGAGGCGTGCTCCTGTGACCCCAGCCTCTTCTCTCCTCACTCTCCCACCCCATCCTAGGTAGTCGCGTGCCCCGTTTCGACCCCACAGCCTTTGTGAAAGCCAAGGAGAAGAAGCAGAGAGAGATCAAGATGAAGTTAGCGCCCATTTCCCCCTTACGTGCCCATATCCCTGCCCCTTTAACTGGCCCCCCGACCTGTGCTCTCATCCATCCGCGTCTCCCATCTGTCTCCGTCATCGGTCACCTGCTCCGTCTCTCCCTTTCCCTTTCCCTGCGCCTGCTTTTCACCTGACCTCCACCTCCTCCCCTGACCCCCACCACCCGGTCTGTGTGTCCGCAGGCCTTTTCCTTCCCTTTCTTATGTGACCTCAACTGTGCCCATAGGGGCCCAGCGACGCCATTCCTAGCATTAGCTGGGCACACAGGTGGGTGTCTCCTTCTCCGCTCCCCAGGCAGCAGCAGCAGCGGAACCGATTGGGCAGCGGAGGAAGCGGGGACGGCCCGTCCATCTCCTGGTCTCGCCAGACTCGGCCCCCCGCTGCCGTGAGCGGCCGAGGGGACGCGGCTAACCGCTCCCGAAACCGCAGCTCCTCGGGTAACTTGGACTGTAGCGCGCGGGGCGGGCTGGGCGCCCCGGCGAGCGCGGGAGGCTCACTCTCTCCTCCCCCGTCTAGTGGACAGTTTCCGCAGCCGCTGCTCATCCGCCGGCTCCTGCAGCGAGTTGGAGGATTTCTCCGATTCCCTTCCTAGGGGGTAAAACTTGGGCGCGAGGAAAGGACCACCTCCAACCGGGGGTCTGGGGAGGCTGGAAACAGTCTTTTGCAGGGAGGTTGGGTGATGGAGGCGGGGGCCTTGAAACCACCGGGGAGGGCGAGGTGGGAGGTGCCCAAGGCTCCTCCCGCTAGTTTCTGAACACTCTCTCCTGTCAGCGTTCGCCGCCGCGGGAAGCCTCCCAGCCCCACCACCTGGGGCGGGTCCAACACGGTGAGTGTATTTCCCCAGACCATGGAGGAGGTGGGGGCAGCATGAAGCCACCAAAAGCCCATGATTCCATTCTGGGGGACTCAGGTTGCAGAGGTGTCTTTTTTTTTTTTTTTTTAAGATTTTATTTATTTGACAGACAGACACAGCGAGAGAGGGAGCACAAGCAGGGGGAGTGGGAGAGGGAGAAGCAGGCTCCCCGCCGAGCAGGGAGCCTGATGCGGGGCTCCATCCCAGGACCCTGGGACCATGACCTGAGCCGAAGGCAGATGCTTAACGACTGAGCCACCCAGGCGCCCCGCAGAGGTGTCTCTTGAAATGCGTCTGGACGCAGAATGTTTTGAGACCATTGGATTGGAGGGGAGTGTGGGGGTGGGGTGGGGTAGATGATACCAGCTAAGGGCACCAGCCCTGGCCTCGAAGTGCCAGCTCTTAAAACCTGGCCCCGCCTTCCTGTCACCTGTGTGGCTCACGCTAGTTCTCAGCCTCAGTCTCTTAATCAGTTGAATGGGGATGGTAATAGTATTCATCTGAGAGGGTTCTGGTGGAGATACCAGGAGGTGATTTTGCATCTAGTAAGTGCCCAGTGGGCGTCAGCCCTTGTTCTTTGAGGTCCTTAGGTTCAAAATTTCCAGTGGGATCTGGGGGACAGGAATAGAGGGAGGATACCTAACCCCCTCTTCCTGTCTCCCCCAGCAGCAGAAGCCCACCCCTGTGGAACGCAGCCGCCATCAGAGATGCCTGACCAATTCGGGGGGCTGGGTCCCTATGAAAGGTGAGCCTGGGACTCCACATCTCCCCCTCCCTTACCGCCCTCCCCAGCCAAGGGCAGCGTATTGGGCCCTCACAGCCCCTGCACCCACACCCACTCTCACAGAGTACAGCTCCGACCACCAGGCAGCAGACATGGCCGAAATAGATGCCCGCCTGAAGGCCTTGCAGGAATATATGAACCAACTGGACACACGGTCGTGACCTCGACCTGGAGTACTGCCCCTCCATCCCTCACCCACTGCTGGATTCGGAGTGGGGGGGCGGGGCCGGCGGTTCCTTGCAGCCCTGCTCAGGCTCCTCTCCTGCTGGTGCTACTGGGGTTTCAGGTGTGTGAGGCCTTGGGCCACCCCCCCACCATGCACTGCATGCTGGGAGGGAAGGTATGTGCATTTTGTAAATAAACTATTTGCTGTTGGGCTCCTTCAGCTTATGACTGACGGGTAGGGCTGGAGTGGGGAGAAATGAGGACTGGGTGGTGGCCGTAATTGGGACCTGGTGTATTTCTGGGCATGTCTCTGACTGGGAGGCACTTTAGGGTTCAGAGTCAGGAGAAACTTGCATACTCTCTAAAGCAATGAATGGGGTGGACCTGAGGGGTGGGAGTGAGCAGCTCAACCCCAAAGGGGTCCAAGCAGAGATGTGGCACAGGGTATCTTTGGCCGAGTGGTAGAGAAGGGGTGTCTTGGAGCATGGGTCACGGCCCCGCAGGACCGCTGAGCTGCCATCAGTGACATCTGGGCCAACTTGGTGCTGATTCCTGCGCTCTGGCCTGAGACCTGGGTTCTGAGCTCTGATGTTCCTTACAAGCTGGGCTCTCTGGGGTCTTGGTTTGGGGTCGGGGCCTCTGGGTTCTGAGTACCAGCGAGGACAGAGTGCTGGGCCCGGGGCGGGTGGGAACGGCTGGGGTCTTGTGGAAGGTAGAGAGGGAGGGGAGGCATGTGGTGGGACACAGGAACGCAGTTTGAGCTGCACCTTTATTGGAGGGGGAGGCGGTGGGGTTTCCACGTGTGGGGGAGGTAGGGTGTCACTCGTGGTAGTGTGGCCAAGTCTGGATGATCTCATAGAGTTGGTCGCCTGGAGAGAGTGTGCGCTGCACGTCCCGGTGTCCCTTGACCTCGTATCTGGGGCTCAGTTTTCCCTGAGCCACACCACAAGCTAGCAGACTCTGGGCCGCCCTGAGGGCCCGGCGTGGAGGTGACCGCTCTGGGGGAGACAGACGCAGGAGTTAGGCTAGGGCTTCCTTGAGGGACAGAGGTAGTGTGGGCTAGTGTTTCCAGCTGCGCACCCTGCCCCCCTGGGGCCCAGAACCGGGTCTGCCAGTCCCCTAGCAGGGACTTAACCCTGCTGTGCCTCAGTTTCCTCATCTGCGAAAGGAAAGAATGATGGCACCTGCCCACAGGGCTGTGGGACAAGAAAACGAGTTCTTTTACGTAAAGCCATCACAGAACAGTGCCTGGCACAGGTTAAACCCTCAGCAGGTGTCAAGATTAGAGCTCATCCTCCCTCCTCTGCCCCCAGACCTCTGGGTCCTACTCCTGATGGTGGCTGTTTATCATGGACTGGCTGAAGAACTTTTATGCAGATTAACTCATCCTGGCCCAAACCGGGCAGCTGCAAAGAAATGGTCATTATCCAAAGGAGGAGATGAGGCTTGGAGAAGCCGACTCAGCTTGCCCAATGTCACAGAGCTTGGAAGTGGCAGAGCCTCCCAAGGACTACATACCGTGCGGCGCCATCCCCCAGACCCCAGGTCGGCCCTCCATGCCAACAGCTGGACACTTACCCATGTAGTTACCCATGAAGGAGATGCCAATGGAGATGGGGTTCCAGGTGGGGCCTGTGTGATCGCCCTTGGTGTCCCAGCCCCGGCCCTCATACACGAGCCCATCTTCTCCGATCAGAAAGCTGGGTGGGCGGGGGCGGGGTGGGCTTGATGAGTAAGGGAGGGCATGCCACCCCCTCCCCTGCCCCCTGCGACTCACACACAATTTCCCCCAACACCTCCCTCTTCTGTCATCCAATGCCTCTGGCCCCTGCCACGTGCCAGGCACAGCACTACACCCTCACGGCCACCCATGAGTTAGTCCTGCCCCCATTCTGCAGGTGGAGCATCAGAGAGGTGGGAACATCTGCCCACAGTCACACAACACAGCCAGACAGGAACAGAGTCCGGATTCTCACCCGGGTCCCTGGAACTCCCATTCACGTGATCCTACTCCCTGCTTCCTCCAGCCTCCTGGGAGGATTTGTTGAGCTCTTGATTTGCTGAATGCCCTCATGCTCTGGGGCAGGAGCCGCTGTTGTCCCCAAGGTCATGCCCCATAGACCGCTGCCTCTCCGAACTGTCCTCTGAGAAGCTTTTCTGCCCTTGGCCCAGCCTGCTTCCTGCTTTCTGTTCCCTGCTGGGGTACACTGAGTGACAGGATCTGGGACTCAAGGATTGGCATCATAACCAGATACAGACTCTGGAGTCCCAGCATCTGCCTCTTGGAAGTTTCCAGTCCTGGCATCAGATCCTTAAGACTCATTTGACACGCCTTGATGGAGCAAGTCTGATTTGGCACGTTGGAAATAACTAGAAGATCAGCACTTTGGAGTTTCAAGATCTGCTGCCTCTGCCCTCTTGCTCTCACAGTCACCAAGGACGTAAAGAATGTTGGAACTTAAGAATCTTTGGGTCCTGAATCTCCCACGCAGGAAGCCCGAATCAGAATCTGGCTCTGAAGAGACTAGAAATTCCATGGTGATGCTGGCCCCCAGGACTGGGCTGCATAGGGCTTTATCACAGCCCCAACACCTGGCACAGGCAGTTGGGACTCCCTGTGTATTTGTGAAATGGAAGCATCTAGTTTAAACCTCCACCACCACTAGGTGGGTCGAGTGAAGAACCTTTTTATAAGTAAAGACACTGAGACTCAGAATGTGATGTGACAAGAAGGAAGATCCAGAATGTTGGGATCAGACTCTAAATCCTAAAATCTGAGAAACAAACTTCAGTCTGCTTTTCTATAAGGCGATTGAGGTCAGAGGCTGGGGAGCCAAGCTTTGTCTTCACTACCTCATGGAAACCCTTAGCATCCGAGCACCTGAGTCTTGGAGACAAAGCCTGGAAGTTGGAGCCTTTGAAATGTAAAAGCTTGAGCCAGAAGAGCTGGGGATACCCTCGGAGGCGCCTAGACTTCCAATGAGGTCATCGGCTTCCCGAGCTTCACCCCACCCCTATTGGAAGCCATCTCTAAGGGCGGAACCCGGGAACCTGGATTTCCAGTACGGTGACTGGTGTTTACCAAGGTCTGAGAACCTGTAGGGTTCAAAGGTCACTCGCTGCGGAAGCCCTTGTATGGGGCCGCGGCCTGTTACCCCGGAAAGGGAGCTGGGGGGCACGGCCCCCAGATGCAGATCTTCGCAGTCCTTTTGTTTTCTGCCGTCACCCACCTGCAGGCTGTTCTCCCCACAGCCGCCAGGGGTAGCTGCTTCCACCTAGCAGGCTCACATCCCTCCCCCGGCTCCTGTCTTCCTTACCGTGGTCCACAAGGCCCTGCCGATCCGGTCCTCCTCGTTTCATGTCACTCCTCCCAGCTCCCTCCAGCCATCCTGGCCTCTGTCCTTCAGGCGTGACCCTCTCACTTGCCCTCATAGCTTTTACCCCTGCTGGACCCTCAGCTTACCACTCTTGCCGCAGCCCCCCATCCCAGAGCCACCTGAGTCTCCCCACCCCCCACCGCCCCGCCCTATTGCTTCTATCACCATCTGAATTCACCTGGTTTCCTTTGCTTGTTTCCCACCTGTTCTTCCCCGTTGGTCTTTAAATCCCATTGGGCCAGATTCGCACTGTTCATGCCTCCCCCATCCCAGCACCCGGGCAGGGCCTGGCACATAATAAGTGCCTAAGGGCAAGAGCCCATGAACTTGGGGGTTCCCATTGCATGCCAGGTGGTGTCCTAAGGGCTTTGCATGTATGTATTGGCTGATTTAGTGACCTGGTGGGGGCAGAGGAGGGAGAGGAAACCAAAGTGGGGAGAGTGTTCGTGACCCTGCCCCAGGTCTCAGCCAGCAACAAGCAGAGCTGAGACTGGACCCCACCCCCACCCCCGCGCTGAACCCGCCTGCTTGTCTGCTTCCCAACAGAGGCGGCAGACTTTATGAAGGGACTCCAGTGTAGAGGACTCTTTCTTTTGTGTTGGTAGTCTGTCCCTTCCTCCGGGGAGCAGGGCTTGGACTTCAGCCCTTTCCCTTCTTCCTAGCACCTGCGTGCCGCGCGCACATGCGCAGTCCTGTGTGCCCGCCCTGGGGAGAAAGCAAGCTGCGAGGACTGTCAGCCAGGGGGCTCTAGATCTGCCGGGGGTCCCTCAGGCCTCCACACATTTCCCTCCACCCGCTAGGGCACCGGCCTTTGCCTCCGCTCCGCACTCACTTGTAGCCCACGTCACACCAGTTCAGCGTCCCCGAGTGGTAGTTGTGCACGTTCTGGGCCTGCTTCAGGCACGAGGCCGGGCAGTCGCAGGGGCTGTCGGCCGTGTGTGACACCACCACGTAGCGCACGGGCAGTCTCAACTTCTTGGAGCACTTGGACGCCGGGGCCCTCCACTCTCTCCGGGGCACTATGGGGCAGCAGGGGTTTGGGGGTTCTTCTCTAGGCCCTCCGAGCCCAAGTCCGAGGAGAGCCAGGAGGGCCCAGGCGAGCAGCGCGCAAGGGGCGGACATGGCAGGTGAGGCCCGCAGGGACGGCTAGGAGTTCGCCGCTGGCCCAGGCCACCTTTATCTGCTGGGCCGGGCGGTGGGGAGGGCCTTGCTTCACACCCTGGCGGGACAGGCAGGTCACACTGGACCCCAGATTCCGCTTCCTTCTCTGGCCGGACTGCAACAGGATGCGGTGTGGTGAGGTGGGGAAGTGGGGAGCCCATGGCAAAGCCAAGGGGACTCTCTCCTAGCTGAGAGTCAGGGTGGGGAGGGTTGCACAGGCCTCTGGCCATCTCGCCCTGTGGTTTCTGGAAGAGCAAGGGCCTGGCGCCCTGCCCAGCTTTGTCTCTCCTTTCAGTGGGGCTTTGAACAACTCACCGGGAACATTAACACAGGGGCTGGGGGCCTGAGCCTCCTCTGTCGTTCTCCCGGAGGGACCGGGGTAACAAAAGCTTCCCCGCCCCCCTTTTTTTTAAACTGAAGTGTAATTAACATACAACTTTATGTTATTTTCAGGTGTACAACATAGTGATTCGGCAGTTCTGTACATTACTTAGTGCTCACCGTGATAAGTGTGGCCCCCAAATGTCCCCAAACAATGCAGTAGTGATCTTGTTGACTACATTCCCTATGCTGTACTTTTCATCCCTGTGACTTATTTTATAACTGGAAGTTTGTACCTCTTAATCCCCCCCCCTTTTTTTTTTAAAGATTCTATTTATTTATTTGAGAGAGAGAATGAGAT